TATATATATATATATATATATATATAGATGCAAAGGATATGACATTTAGGGCTGTCAAAAAAACTTGTTCGCGAACAGTTCGTGTTCGGTTCGTCAATTCGTTCGTGTTCGATTCGTTCGATAAGTAAAACGAGACGAACTTGAATAAATTTTTTTCTTTCGGTTAGTTAAACAAACCAAACACGAATAGTGATGAGCTTATTCGTGCTCGAATCGTTATTGTTCAAAATATAAAATAATTTAAAATAATTATATATAAAAAATTTATGATATTTTAAAAAATTAAAATTTATAAATTATAATATATAATAAAGTAATAATAATAATATATTAGTAATATACAAACATAGATATTATATATTTATATATATTAATATTAGGGATGTCAAATTGGCTCGTCGTTCGCGAATAGCTCGTGTTCGACTCGTGTTTGGTTTCTTCGTCAAAAAACGAACAAGAACAGTGATTTCACGAATAATTTCAAATACGAGCTTATTTCAAACAAATTAAATTTCAAATCAATTGAATATAAACACAAATTTTATTCATTGGTGTTGGGTTCGTTTACATGCAATGAGTGCAAGTATTAAAGTTTGTATGTTAGATGTGTACATAGAGAAGAATTACGTGACAGCAGCGCGTGGAGCAAATCCCGCCATCTCAGCCTGTATCTCGCCGGCTCAATCGGAGCCTTTCTCCTCGCATTAAAGCTCCATATCCCTCGCACTGTCGCCTCGCCGAAGTAAAGACATCCGGAGCTCGAACGGAAGCTAAGTGGACATCGTGCTTTGGGAAAGGGAACGGCTTTACGAGTTGGCGTTGCTTAAACTCGTTCGTAGCAGCGCGCACAAAAAAAGCTTCCCATTTTACAGGGAGTTTTGGTTCTGCTGTTTTTTTATGTAAAAAAAATTGGGAGATATGTAGTAGCAGTAGGGGTGTAAACGAGCCGAACACGAGCGAGAGCGAGCCAAGCTTAGCTCGTGTTCGCCTCGTTTATATTTCGAGCTCAAAAAATGTGTTTGTGTTCGGCTCATTTGCTTAACGAGCCGAACACAAGCTGGTCAAGAACAAAGAGTCCTTTGAACAACCCTAATCATGTAGTCATAAGACAATAAGGGTTTGAGCAAGATTTAAAAATTATTATTTATTTTAAAACATCATTTGAATCTAATTTAATAATTTTTATTCTATTTTCTTAATCAATATTTTAATTGATTATAAATTTTTGTAGCCTTGTAATATATATATAAACTTGATGAGTAGTATTTCGAGCCAAAACGAGCCGAACACGAACGAACACATCTTAGTTCGTGTTTGGCTCGTTAACTTATAGAACGAAATTAACGAGCCGAACACGAGCTTCTTAACGAGTCAAACACGAGCTGTTCGCGAACAACGAGCCTTTTTGACAGCTCTAAGTAGCAGGAGCTTTCTGAACATCAAGTTTTACTTATTTCACACCTTAATTTTAAATATTACAGCCATAGCATAAAAAAGTATTCAAATTTAAACAAAATATGCACTTTCCTTATAAAATCCTTAGCCCTGTTCTGCTCGTTATTGTAGATAACATCCATAGAAAATAAGCAATAATAATAATTGTACACAACAAACGTCTTAGCATGAATCTCGAGGAAATCTAATGAAATGGAAGACAAAAGGATATAGTCCAACGAGTTCTGCTGGCAAAAATCAAATGATGCTGTATTGAGATAGTCAAAAGATGGAAACATTAAGTGTCATTTTCTTTGGTAGGAAGTCTGAGCTGATCGAACGGAAGAAGGACATCTGAACTAAAGATAGAAGGACCTCAAGCCGAGAGGCAGTCTTTCACGACTAGCTCTCCCAACCAATTCCGAAGCTCCTCAAAAATCATATAATAATCTAAATAACATATTCATGATATGCTCTTAAGGAATTAATCTAGAATTTCTATGTTCATTAACTTTGACTTCAATTTAGTATATTTCTTATTCTTAACTTTAACATCCATTTCAGAAGCATTGTTTAAACATAACTTAATACAACATGACTGAAATGTATCCCATCAACATAGCGGGACAAAGAACATACCCGTTATTGTCCAAGGTGAAAATATACTTATTCATCTTTGAACGATATTCTCCAATTGACACAATAGTTTGTGATCTAAATCTTATTATTTTATGAGGTGATACAAAACCATCTACACATGTAGATACATTGGCGTCCCTAGCTAGTACATAAGAGGGCAGACACCTTTTCATAGCATGCCCGTACAACAATCAAATATACCATATTTTTATTCTTTATAACATACATTATTTTCTTACGAAACATTTTATATTTATCTACTTGTAAATAAATATCATTCTAACATAATCAAAAAGTCAGATAATAAACTAATATCATTTAATGAAAAATTGAACTATTGTGCCAGCATTTATGCAAAAATATCTCCATGCATATTTCATGCCTATCAATATGTAATATGTAAGAGCCAATTATAGTTTAAAAGTAGAAATATTACTATAAATTGGAAAGATAATTATTCATCTCTGTTATCATATTAAATTCTCAATCTTAAAGTAACCAATTTGACTTCTTAATATCTCTTACTTTGGTAGTATTAACCTAGAAGATAGAATTAAACTTTAGGATTCAAACAAATTTCCATTTAATCAAATTATTTTTCAATTAGTATTGCTATTATTATTTTTTTTAATTCTATGTATTTGCATTATTTGCTCTCAATAATAATTAAGGTAATTATTTTAATAAGTAGATTAATATATTTTTTTCCAATTTATCTATAAATATCCTCCATTAATTTATAAAACAAGAACTTAATGAAAACAAATTCTATTTTTAACTTAAATGTTCTTCATCAATAACTAACTTTTATAATTAATAAGAATACTATCTTATATTATTAAAATACAGACCAATCATATTATCAATTTACTTTATAAACATTGAATCATTGTAAGGAATTTGAATTTAAGAATTCATTAATATAAATTTAAGAGAATTAATTATTTAAGCGTAAGTTCGTATACTTCTTAGACATATAATAATAATAATAATAATAATAATAATACAAATAATAATAATAAAAACAATAATATTTTATTTTTAGGTATATAATAAAATTTTATTTAAGAAAATAACAATCATTCTAAATTTAATAAGAGCAATATAAATCATAAAATATTTAATTAATTTTTTAAATTATCCTATGTAAATTTTATCATCACAAAATTTTTTTAAAGTATACAAATGTAAATATAACCGCATCTTACTACAAAATTGTTGAACCCAAACATGTCTGAGAATCACGCCCAAGGAGTAGAGCACAGATGATAGAGTAAAGAGAGAATAGTAAAATAATGAGCATCTAGCTCCTTTTTTTATAAAATGGCTTCCTATTTATAGGCATAGAAGAGACTTTTATTACATTATTACCTTTGAGCCATTTTCTATGTAAGTGAATGTAGGGATATTGTATTAATTCATGCTATACATGAAATTATGCTAATAAACAATTATTAACTGAGGGTAACATGTTTTTCATTTGCAAGCTTGTGCTGTTCACTCGAAGATCATGGGTCAAGTCGCGCAAAGATGGCGTGGAAGATCCTCGATAAAATATTTACGTGGACTCTTCTTAGATTCTAACTCGTTTGCCTTATTTGTCAAATGACAAAATATCTTTTGTTCGGCCTTTTCCTCGGAAGTCCCTCACTCGGCCTTCATGTTAATCAGCTCGCTAATTAGGCGGGCAACTTGACAGAGCATCCGTGACAATCTCCTTATTCGATTTTCTCGAATACTCATCATAGTTTGTTGATCTGTTTCGTCGCATCTTGACCGGGGGTCTCACTTCTTTTGTCGAGCTCCTTGACTTTCCATAAAGATTCGTGCCGCCACAATCCGGTCATACATATCTATTTCTCCAACTTTATTGGTTTTTTAAAGTGACAGTTGTGATAAAAATAATAAAGTTAAATATTACATTAAATAGTAGCTTTAACTTCTGAAATCATCATTTAATAATTAGATTCCTTGAATTTTTTTGCACTACTATTGTATAAAAAGGCTGCTATTAGTAACTGAGATTCTCACATTTCTCCTTGGTTCAATTTGATCGCTCTTTATAGTAAGCATTCCGAGGGCAAGTGGTAAGAAGAGCAATAATCCTTAGGAACCATCAGGCAATATTCTTATGAAGGTTTTTGGATTGCAGATGGAGAAGCTCCGTCCTTCAAATGCATCCATTAAGAGCCGTCATCAAGAGTGGTTTGACCAGCGAGCAAGGAGAATACC